TCCAGCTGGACATTGAGCCGTTTACCACAACACTATTGTATTCTTGTAATTAGCCCAGGCAAGATGCATTTCTTCTGTTAAGCACCTTGTCTGATGTAAGAGTAATATCAAGGTTTCTTTTCTGTCTTCACCTGATGGGAGAGAGGACAGTGCAATCCTTGTGGGATAGCAACAGGGAAGCAATCCTTTTGAGACATTTAGGTGCTTCCTTTCAGATAAGGAGTAGGTTGCATTTGCAGGTTTGGTGTATGGGCTTGGTGGATTTTTTAAATAATTTTCTTTTTAACCAAGCAAACTCTTGCACCACAAAACTACAGCTACTTCATTTAGAGCAACCAAGGTTAGAATTTTTTTCACTTAAAATAATAGTGTGATAGAGTTTTTTACCTTAGGAGTGATGAAAACTATTCACTGCTGCTGTTCTTCCTGTTACAGACACTAATGTTCTTAATTAGAGACTGGAGTTATCCTTATGAACATGCATATGGCTTGGAAGGAGGAAGAAAGTTCCTAGAGAAAAGATTGCAGGTAAGTTCTCTCCAGCAGTCCTAGTGTGGTCTTTAAGTGTCAGTTTATCATCAAGATAATGGTGCATGATGAGCTAACTCTTTGTGCATAATAAAATGCATTTGTGATGTTCCCACTCGTGTGCGGGGTTCTGGGGTTTAGAATTTGACATTTTTAGGTTCAGGAATGAAAGCTAAAACGTGCTTTTGTGCTCTTACTGCTTTTAAGATGATATTTAATCTTAATTGCAGTGCTGCAAGACTTCGAGCAGTTCAGCAGTTCTTGCTACCTTTTTTGTTTGTTTTTATTTCAGGTAAAGCAAAACCAACATGAAGAGCTACAGAATGTAAGGAAGCATATTCACTCCTGTTTCAGTAATCTTGGCTGTTTCCTGTTGCCCCACCCTGGTCTTAAGGTTGCAACAAATCCAAATTTTGATGGGAGGTTGAATGGTAGGAAGCTTTCCATTGTGTGTTTCTTGATTGAGATCACTGAGTTTGGTGGGTTTTGTTGTTTTTTAAATGGTGGAAGTTAAACACTGAAATGATTGACTATTGAAATGCTTGATTGGAAAAATGTAGGGCTAAAAGGTGAAACTGTGGAATCTAGAAATGTGTATTGTGTGTGCTTTTCAGTGGTTTAAAGGTAGAAGAGTTAAGCATGTGCAAGGAGTAGATATCTTTGTCTAGCTGTTGCTTGTTATCTGGTAACTTGAGACATACTTAAAGGTCATTAAATAAGGATTCTAAAGATAAATAAGGATTCCAGAGGGTAGAATTCAGAAAATTAAAGACTTTCCTAAAATTGAAAGGCTTTTCTTCAAGAACTTGCTAAAGCAAAGGTCAGAACTAGAATGACTTAAAAGCTGTAAGCTTCTGCTGCTGCGGAATGAGAGGCAGCCAGGATTCTTCCAACTGCTCATTGTCCCCCAGCAGAGGGAACATATCAGAATGGCAAAGGCTAATGAAGTGGGTTTGTCATAGTGGGATGTCAACCACAGCTATGCTGGGAGCACAGACCTGTGGGATTATTGTGTAATTGGGGAAATGCACTTTAAATATTACAAGGCCTATGGAACCTTGTTGTCTCAGTCTGAGGTTAAGATAAGGACCAGGTAGAACTTACTAAAGCTACACTATGTATTGAAGCTTTTAAATATCTTAAAAATGCAGTCTAGTGTTGTGATACTGGATTTTGAAGGAATAAGGGTTATCGGTGTTCCTTTAGGAAATTTAACATTGAAAAGGAAACTAACCATTTTCCTTTCCCCCCAAAACTGAATTTTACTAGATATAGACGAGGAATTTAAGAACGAACTGCGGAATTTGATACCATTACTGCTTGCCCCTGAAAACTTGGTAGAAAAAGAGATTAGTGGATCCAAGGTGACCTGTAGAGATCTTGTAGAATACTTCAAGGTAAGCAAACTCATACTAATTACTTCTGATAATGGCTTAAAAGAAAGTATTCTAATTTTAGGGCATGTTGTTCCCAGAGAAGATAAGATATCTAGGCTGACACTCACCGATCAGCGTACATTTTCGTTTCATTACTCTGACTTTTCAGAACTGGCACAAAACTTCCTAACAGTATAGCTTTTAGCAAGCTGCTGTGGGCGAAATTGTGTTTGGGTTGGTGGGTTTTGTTGTTTGTTTCCTTTATGTATGTTGGGTTTGGTCTTTTTTTTTTATGAGGGCCTCTACAGATAGAAAATCGGCTTTTAAACTGCTTGGTATGCAGGAAAAATTTCAGCTACTTCCCACTGGATTTTTAACATGTAAGAAAGATGCTTTCCAAACACTTGCATGGGCAGCACCACTGTATGCTCTGAAAGACTTGTGTATGATACTTGCAGCTGTTAGACTCTTGAGCTGTTTTGGTCTCATAGTGGCACCAGCAGAAATGTGATAACATAATCCCTACATCACCATGAACTGGTGTGTAACCTTTTTCTGAATTGGAATGACTTAGACAGTTGGCTTGGTAGGACAAAGTGGCACATATTCCTAAAGATGTTAATTTTGCATTACTACTTTTGAGCATGCATGTTAATGGTAGAACAGAGTTGGGCTGAAACTAAGAAAGAATGTATACTAAGTAGGAATCAGAGACCAAACTCTTTAATACTTGTAAAATGAAGTGTTAAAGTGAAGTATCTTCCCTCCTTGTAAACGAAAGTCATTATATGGGATGCGGAAGTCATAGCTGTTCTGACAAGCAAAAAATCAACACTCTAGAGCTCATACATTCTGTCTCTGTACTTACCTGGTTACATGCTGCTTTTTGTTTCACTTTCTTCTGTAGTAAGACCTGATCCTGTGTAGTGTAGGGAGTGTGCATTCAACAGCAGTTTAGAAAGGACTGCACCCTAAAAACTGAGTGTCAAAGCTTCTCTATTGAAAATCTGTCTGGGAGCAGTCATGCAGGCTGCTGTGGGAACACCGTAGTTACGTAACTAAAGAGGACTGCTCCCTTTGGGCTGTGCATCTAAAGCTGAGATCGTGAGTTGGGAACTGGAGGGGTTTTACATGGAGGAAAGCAAGGGAGGGTGTCAAGGGAACAGAGTCCTGTATAACTCTATATACATTTTTGTAGGTTGTCCTACAACCTAGAGCATTGGGTATATAGGGACCCTGATAACCTTGTTCTCTCCTCCTTTACAGAGAAAAATCCTCAGGGCAAAGACTTGTAGATGGGCCAGGGTAGAGAGCAGTAGTAGCATGAAGAATAACTGCTCAGCCTCTGAGGGGCTGGGAGTGGCCCTGTTGGTCTAACTTGTGCAGCCTGCTGTGCCCCCTCAACTAGTCTGTCCCAAAGAGCTGTGCCACAGGCCATTTTGCAGGCTGGAGAAGAAGATATGAAGAACATGTTCTCTTCCAGCCTTCTGAAACCTGGGTGAAAGAAAGGACACCTAAGGATTGGTGGATTGGGGCACAGAGGGGAGTAGTCTGCTTGCTTGGTTTCCAGAAGTATTTTGGCAGCTCAGCTGTGTTTGCATTAGTGCTTTGATCTGCTTTTTTTTCATCCCACACTTCAAGGGAGCAAGGCACATGGGGAAATTTAAGTACTGGTTCTCCCAGCACTGGGGTGTGTTTGGACAGACCTCTTGCCAGAAAGGCTGTGTGAGACAGTCATCTTCACTCTTGTTTTGAATGAAAATTCCCTGCCTAGCAAAGACCCTTTTATATATTTGAGGGAGCAGAAACCTGCTGTAAAGCCTGTCACTTCTTGAGATAGTGTCTTCTTAAGGTGCTCTGCTACCCTGCTAGGCCCCAGCTTCAAATGCAAGGAAAGTAAAGGGATTAAAACACTAGGGATAACTATAAGAATGCCAGACTTGAATGAAGAAATCTGTTTAATTGAATATTCATCATTATTGCAAAGAAATCATCTATGAGCTCTGTCTTTATATCATTCCTCCTTCCTCCTCCTTCTCAAACTTAAATGTTTAAGAAAAAGAAACCTTTTTTTTTCTTTCTCCCATTTAGGCTTATATTAAAATCTATCAAGGAGAGGAGCTACCTCATCCGAAATCTATGCTGCAGGTATTTTATTTTCCTTTCAAATAATCTGATGTGTACTTTGTAAGTTCTTTTGCAACTGAAGATCATGACTGCTGCAGGTCTGGAGCTTCTGCACACAGAGCTCTAGTTCTTGAAGGAGCTGCTGTGTACTTTGAAAGCCATCTAAACTTTTTAGCCTGGGTATGCATTTGGGTCTTCCCTCAGTTCCATCTATCAGATGGAGTGGGGGTATATCTGATTGGTTGGGGGGTTTTTTAGCTGCTTCAATTTCTGTGTTTCCTGTAACTTGCTATTTTGTCAGTATCTTTCAGACTGTATTCAAAGAGTAGTTAGTATCAGATTCAGCAGATAAAATGGAGAAGGCTTATAGTAATGCAGCTATTGCCACTGTCTTGTAGTGCTGGGCTACTCTGTGTGGGTTTGTTAGATTGGGTAACTGCATTGAGGTTACTTTTCAGGGTTGATCAAAGAGGATGTAATCAGCTTTAAAGTGATCTGAACACAACTAATTGTATAAAGCTGTGTGTTGAACCCATGAGTTATTTGGGATGAAGAGCTTTCACCAAAGTGTGGGCTTTAGGGTCATTTTGTGTTTGTAAGACTTGAGGGGTTTTTAAGCTTCCTGTGTCACTTCGTTAAGATGTGACTGTTCTGGGTGTTTTCTCATCCTTCAGAGAGTCAAATCATTAGACTTTTGGGGAAGTTCAGGAAACTCATCATGATGAACCAAAGGCTACTATCATTGCCTCTACTTAGCATGCCATAGATGTGGCTGAGAGACAAAAAAGATTACATCCTGCAGTATTAGTTACAGTAACTGTCCCTGAAATGACACAGGTTGAAAATAGTCTTAAATTCTTGCAAATTATGACACCAAACCTGTGCATATACAGGGCAAAAATAATACCAGCTTGCAGGTAGTGATGTATCATGATTAACATTTAATAGTTTAGTGATCCTTATTTGCTTATTAACAGTAGAGCATTCAGAAGAGATTGCTGCTGCTGAAAAGTCTGTACAAGCACATGGGAGTGGGTCTGCAGTTGTACTAGATAGCTGAAGAAAACATTCTCCTAGTCAGTAATTTGTTTTAATTTATATCACTAACCTTCACTTGTTTTTGTGGTGCATTTTTCTGGCCATCTGAAGCTTTGGAGGCTGTGGGGGAATGTTGGGCAGTGTACTGCATGTGTGCAACTACCTGGTAATGGTGTGATGATACATGGTGCTCAATGTTTTCTAGGCAACAGCTGAGGCAAACAATCTTGCTGCTGTGGCAGGAGCAAAAGACTTGTACAGTAAAGGCATGGAGCAGGTATGGTGACATGTTTTCTAACTGCCTGCATGCAAATACAGGCCTTCAGTTTTAATGTCGTACATGGTGTTGGTTGTGAGCATGATAACGGAGAAAAGTAGCTTAGGGCCAGTACTTGTGTGTTTTCTGCACTCTCTGCTCTGAGATTAGATGTCTGATGCAGCAAAACCAGGATTCTTTGAGACAGAAATTGCTGGGAGGTATGGGAATGGGCATGTTTGTAAGATACCACCTGTTAGTTCCTCCTGCTGTTCTTGACATCTTAAAATCCTGTGACTTGAAATGGGCAAACAGCTGAGGAGACATTTGATGGGCCAGGGTCGTGCAAGGGTAAAGTTCTAGTATTTTAGTCTCATGCTTCTGAGCTGTGGTCAGTCATTAGCTGTAAAATGCAAGGATTAAAATTATTCTCAAGTTTAAAAAAAACCCTTGAAATACAAGAATTATCGTGTCTGAAAAAGCTGCTTATGTATTTCCTACTTGCTGTTTCTCTTGAAGACAGTGACTTATACCACTCCAAGCTGAATGTCTGGATGGACTTCATGCTTCAGGGTAGTGTTATGCAAGGTTTTATAATAGGAACTTCTGAAAACAATTACATGTCTCGTAAAGCTTAACTGTGCTTATTGTGAAACTCTACAACCAGAAAAGACCAGTAGGTGTGATAACATGCTACAAACATACCTCCCCCTTGTTTAGGCTATTTCTGGTCTTAATTGTTGAAGTAAGCTTTCCATTTTAGAAATTAGAGTAAGATCTAATGCTAGCAGCGTACTAACCAGTATCACTTGTTAGCAGGCTGTTTTGAGAATGCTCTGCTGGTGTAGAGGGATTCCATCATTTGCTTTCATTTAGGACATCTCTTGAAATAGTAGATGGGCTGTTTATAATAACTGCTAAGTTCTGCCTTCCTACCTTGGATCTTCAGTGGCTGTTGAGATACTGTAATTTTAATGCTTTATGCTTAGGGCAAGGAATAAACAGGAACAGATGTTCTCTTAAACAGACTTTGTTTCCATAGTAATATTCCCCAGTACTGTGTATTTTTGTATCACTATAGAGATACACACAAATGTCTTGAATAATTTATTTATCCAGATGTCTCAGATGATGTTCTTAATGTGACACAGCTCTGAAATTTCTGTTTTTAGGAGCAGAAGTGGGAACTCTTTGTATTTAAGACTAAATTATGTAAAGATAGTTCTTACTGTAGCTTCTGAATTCTCATGAACCAAAGCCCTCCTTTGCTGAGGGGGCATATAACCAAAGTATTGTTCCCCCTAATGACCAGTGAAATGTAATGAACAACAGGGCAGATGCAGAGAGTATAAGAAAACAGTGGCAATTATATGTGTGGTCGTCTTGATGCATCAGCAGCTCCTTCTGTTTAACACTCTGGGCAATGTGGAATCACAGTTTTGAAGGATGAGACTAGTAGCCATTTTCCAGGGAATTTTGCCAGGTGTGAAGGACATAAATACAAAAAAAGCAGAAAGGTGCTTCTTAAACTTGAGCAAGGGGCAGAGTGGGGGTGCCAGGATCTCGGCAGCAAGGTTTACCTTGAAGAAGCTAGCCAGTCAAGCCATGCATCTTGTGAGGAAGAAAGGGGATACTGTTCCCTGAGAAAGTGATCTTTTTGCTGAAGGGGTAGCAGCAGGAGGAGGTTAAAGTTCCTGCTGTGCTCAAGACATGAGATGATGAGCACTGTGCTAAGACTACCTTGTGGCAGGAGAAAGAAGGCGGCTGTTTGACATCATATGAAAAGAATCTCCAGTTTTAGATGTAGTTTGACTGTGAGGGTCTGGAGGAGTTGGAGCTGATGGCATATGTATATCTCTGAGGCCTAGGTAATCTCTAATCATAGTGCTCAAGAGTTCAGAAATCAGTCTTACAGAGTAGAAGTCCTCGGAGTCGTTTTCAAACCCCTGCAGATTCAGGTGGTGGTGGGTATCCATTTGAGTCTGTGATCTAGTCTCTTTAGCAGAAATGTATACTCACAAGTTGATCAGAATCAAGCCTAGAGCACAATCTAGGGAACAATAGGCTAATAATGTCAGGAGCTGGTCCTTGTTAACTCATGTCACCTGGTAAGTTCCATGGACCCTGCCAGTAGCAGCAATAAACAGGAATAAACTTGCTGAATGGGCAAAATCTGCCCTGTTTGTCCAAGTTCTGCACTGACCCTCTTGCTGAGATGGGCGACCAGGAGTAAAAAGCTGAGGAAAGGATTTGTGGCCTTCAGAGTTCTCCTTAACCTTCCTCAAGCCAAGCTTTCTCTGCCTCCTGATGTTCCTTTATTTCATAACAGGAATGTACATGGGACTGGTGTCCTGTCCTTCTGGACTTGTCCAAAGGGAACAGTTGAAAAGTGTGAATTTAGACATGTGCTATAGCTCTGTATGTGATTAGACAGATAAGGCTCTTGCTGTGCCATGATGCAAAGTATCTTTAGCTGCATCGCTCTTGAGATGGACTCTAGAGTTCCAGAGCCAAGAAAGCTGCGGAGGTACCCAGATGCTGGATTGAGAGGGGGGCAGTGAGGAGCGGGTTTGCTTTCATAAGATACTCAGGTGTGATGACCTCCTCTGCAATTGCTTTGACAGGTTTGTGGGGGAGATAAGCCTTACATCGCCCCATCGGACCTTGAGCGGAAGCATCAGGATTGCAGGGAGTCAGCCATCAGGCAGTTCCGCTCAGTGAAGAAGATGGGAGGGGAGGAGTTCTGTCGGCGCTACCAGGAACAGCTTGAAGTGGAAATCGACGAGATCTATGCAAACTTTGTGAAGCACAACGATGGCAAAAACATCTTTTATGCTGCTCGTACCCCTGCCACTCTATTTGCAGTCATGTTTGCCATGTATATAACCTCAGGACTGACTGGGTTCCTTGGTATGAACTCTATAGCTACCCTGTGTAATCTCGTGCTGGGGATGGCTCTTATATCGTTTTGTACTTGGGCATACGTTAAGTACTCTGGGGAATTCAGAGAAGTTGGAACAGCCATTGATCAGATCGCTGAAGCTATATGGGAACAGGTTGGTATCTATTTTTAATGCAGTATCTTCCTTCTTGTTCAGACTTATCAAATAGTTTCTGTTCTATCCTGTGAGTGAAGAGCTGATCTACACCTAATGGAGAGTGCTAGTCCTGCCAAAGGGAAAATGAGCTTAGAAATATCACTGCTTTCTTCAGTAAGAGGTGCTGCAGGCAAAGAATGTTAAATAAGCTTAGGATATTATCAAAATAAATGTTGCCTAAAGGCCTAGGTGCTTGGATGGTAAAGAGCAGAGGGACTCTAAAAATCTTACTACCTTTTCAGAGCAAGGAATTCTGCTTTTAAAGGTACGTTTGAAGTGATAAACTTGCCTTATGGATGTGGTGGATAAAATCTCAGGTGGTGCAAGAAATGGGGATGGCGAAACATTACTGCCCTCTCCCCTCGCCTGATGTTGTGACACTGGAGGTCTAACAGACCTCAGAGAAAACTGGCTGATGACTTGCAGCAACAAGAGGATTTAGAGTGAGTTTCTTCCTTCAGGAGGGCTCATGTTGTCTGTGACAACTTCAGTTGGTGCAACTGCTTTTGCAAGAAATAAGCGACAGACAGACTGATTCCTGAAAGAAATGGTGACGTGTATAGAAGGAGGAGAAAGCCTTTTGTACAGGGATTTTGCTGCCCTAATTGAGTTGACACAGCTGTGCCAGTAAAGCCAATGTAGAGAGTTCCTGATCAACTCTTACAAGTAGTGTTTGGAGCATTCTGAGTCGCTATGTCCAGTGCCGGCAGGTGCTGTTGTTAGAAATAAAGATCTCGCTGAACTTACCTGGGATGACATTAAAAAGGGTCCTACAAGGCACAAGCAAATAACTAACTGGAGCCTTCTATACAGAGGCTTTCTTCTAGATCTGAAAAATGGCTCTATTCAAGGCTCACCATAGGGTACATTAAACCTGTCTGAGCAACCAGGTAAGGTTGTGAGTTAACTCAGCAGAAAAAGTGGGTTTCTAATAATAGAAGGGAAATGAGCATCAGCGTACTATATTTGTTGTTACTAGAGATTAAAACTGAGTCTCTCCTGTACCACCATAGCTTTTTGCTTTGGAGATTGAGGCTGAAGAATGCTGCAAGAAAACTGGAAGGTGTCAGTCCTAAGTGTAGTAATTACTGAGTGTAGCTGCTGCTGTAGGGTACCTAGAGCACACAGGGCTTGATTCGAAGTGTTCAAGAATCATGTAGATGAGGCCCTCAGTGACATGGTTTAGTGGTGGTCTTGGCAGTGCTGGGGTAATGCTTGGACCTGATGATCTTAAAGGTCTTTTCCAACCTAGTTGATTCTGTGATTCTATGACTGCTGCCTTCCCTGGAAAGGGGAAGAACTTGGCTTATGCTGGGAGAAGCTTGCCTTCTGTGGGCTAGCGGAAGGTGATCAAAAATGGTTGCTGGTGGTGGCATTGCAATTGAGTATCAGCAATGATATGAAAAGCACCTACAGGTCCTGTTTGAATCACTTTGTGATTATATACCCTGTTCTTGCTATTGATTTTTCTGAATCTCTGCCTTTCTTTTCCCTCCTTGCTTCAGAGGAATCCCAGGAAGGTGAGAAGTTACTGGCAATCACTTTCTTTTTCTGAACTTGACTTTTTTCTCCTGCCTTCTACGAGCCACTTTTCCTAACAGCTGAATTCATGTTTTAGGTGTTTTCCAAACTCTTTGAAGTCCTTAGACGCCGAACGATTCGCCGTGCTCTAACATCAGTGCCGCGACAGCGACTCTCATCCAACAATAACAAGAAGAAAAACTAGCCAGTATTTTTAACTTTCTTTCTGTATCTGAAGTGTTCACACTTACACATATAGGACAATAAGCTGGACCGTCTGGGCCGGTCTGCATAAATGCTGTAACCATACCAGACTGATGCTGCATATAGGGTATGGAATTGCACATCCATCTTCTAGGAACTGTAAAATGGTTTGAATTCAGTGAAATACTGCTGTATAGGAGGGATATCACTTGTGTCCATAGCATGTGACTGATTCAACCTCATTACTGTAGCAGCAAAACTCACTTCTCTTTCAGTTCATGCAGTTTGTGTCAGACTTCAGCATTCCAAGCTTTTTATTTTTATTTTCATTATTTCAACTCTCATCTCTTTGCATGTTTTTATATTTTCTTTTCCTTCGTTACCTCATTCTTTTGTTCTTTTGCACGTTTCTCATTCCACAGGTGTTGAAGCCCATGAGTGATAATTTGATGGAGGATCATATGAGACAGTCTGTAAAAAACTCTATCAAAGCAAGCCTGGGCGAGCAGGTGTCTCACCATGCCAGACTAAAGACAGACTGACACTTCATCTCCTCTTCAACTCTGCCCTCTCATCCTAGACATGCTTGCTGTACCTTGAGAACTCAGTAATTAAAGAAATGAATAAATAAAAATAAACCAAAGTTTACAATCAACTGTAGAAGTAGTTTAGTGTGATTGGCTTCACAGATTGCTGCCATCACCTGGGAGGAGTTAAGTTTGTCAGTGCTCTGCTTCTAAGACAAACTGGTGCCATGGAGACGGCTGGGGGTGGGAGGGAGGGTGTCTGTTTTATGTATAGTCCTGGTGAACCCTGCACATGTGTGTCTGGGGAGTGACGAGGGGGGAGGGATCTGTCCCCCTGTGTTTGAGCTGATGCAGACTGGCTTACAGTGGGAATCTGTCCTCTGCAGGAGGTAATTCAGGGAAGTGTAACGATCAGACCCACATAAGGGGTGCTCTCACCCAGCTCCACACCATCCCCTCGCCACCTCTAACAAGTTTCTGCGTATCAAGTCAGTGAAGCCATTAGAGCCACCACATTACAACACGTATGTTGCTTTATTGCCTTCTCTAGCAGTGTTACACAAATGCATGTTTTGGTTCCTCACACTGCCGACAGCAGAACTGACTTGTAAGGGAGGCAGTGGGTCAGAGCATACGGTGTCTTGCCTTGAACTCGCAGACCTGGTCCTGAGGGAGGTGCATATCAGAACTGAGCTGTCTTTTTCTGCAGTTTAGCCTTCGTGTATATAATATTGCCATTAATTCTACTGGGGGAGAAATTCCATCCAAAAATGTTGCCTACAGCTACCAAGCAATGAGTTAGGATTGTCTGTACAGTGTGTTTAGTTTTTATTTTTTAAGAAATCACAGATAGGGCATGTATATGAAATATAAATATATAAATACGATTTTGTATCAAAGTTTTGTAGTTTATGGCAAAACCTGGTTCTGTGGTAGCTAAAAGTGCAGTCCCTGTAAAGGAATGTTTGTGGCTCATGTAAATGTGTGAATGCATCAACAATTTGAAGTTTTTTGATATGTTTGTGATATTTACCTGCCTTGAGCACTGCAATCTCTCACCCCCTTGGGAAAAATCAGTGGGAATGTTTGTTGTGAAACTCTTGTCTTCTGTTGCATTTTAAAGTTATTTCCTGTAATTTATTTTCAGTACATGATTAAAATCAGTTGTGTATATATGAAATGAAATCCGTGCTTATTTTTAAAAGATGTTCAAGTATGTATTCTACTACATAAACTATGTCAAATACTTATCCTGACAATTATATGAACAAATTGTCTATTGTACTTCATAGCTTTCTATTGAAGCTGATGTTCTCCTCATGCTTGTCTCTGAAAGATGACATCTGTCTAGCTCATACCCCCTCCCTGCATAGGAAAACTTTCTGGTATTCTAAAGCACGCTTCTTGCCTTGTGGAGTTGCTTGTCAGCTTCTGCCCTCCAGCAACTGTATTGTTCTGAAATCTTGTTACTGGCTCTATTTTCACTCTTGACTAAATCAACTGTGTGGAGTGTAAAAGGCAGCTAAAGAATTAATTGCTGTAGTTTCAGCTGGAAATGACTGTGGGCAATAGCTGGGGTTTTTTTGCATTCCTAAATGGTAATAATTTCCATCAACATTTGAGCTTCATCAGTCTCCCCTCTCTTGAGTGAGGGAAATCATCTGTCTAGGACTAAAGCAATTGCACTGTGACTTTTGTACCATAAAGGACTGCTGGGGAGTGGAGGTTACCTGCCCTCTGGAGATGAGGGCTCAGCTCCAAGTGAATGATGCTGAAGATGAGGTAGGAATGTTGCATTTTATGATATCTTCTCTCAAACTGTACAGATTAAATACTGTTATTTAAACAATCTAATGCTTTGGTGATGAATGTCTTTATTAGTCATGTAAGTGGTTTTGGAGGGTCATGCTTGCCTTTGCTTCTTGCCTTCTCCAGGAAGGTAGGAGTCAGATTTGAGGCTGTGCTGTGCCCTGCAGTGATAGGGGGAGCAGAACTCTGTCCAGGATGTGGACAGTGAAGCAGGAAGGCTTTATCTAGACTGTCCTTGTAGTAGAGGACTGAAACTGGGTGTGTGTCTGGGGGTGGGGGGTGTCCTGAACACCATGCCTAAGAAGCTGCAGAATTTATGCAAGAAACCCTTAACTTTGTTGGGGGGGGATCAAAGGTAGGAAAAGCAAGGGGCCAAGGTACTTTTTTGGGAGGAACAGGGTGGGAAGTAGATATTAGATATTCTGTTGTCTCCATTAACTCCATTTCTCACACTTTTCCTGAGAGAGGGGACTCCATAGTGTGTGTGTAGAGATCAAAGTGCCAGCAATTGGAGCAGGACCTTGGTCACAGGCTGTATGTTTGGAGTGCCAGTAGACTGGAGTGAGTGGAAAGCAAGTGCTGGCAATAGCAGAGTGAGGTGGTGTACTGGTGTATGAATATTGGGCGAGATTTAGCCAACAAGTGGGACAAGGAGGCTGGGAGCCAGGTGCTGAAGCAGCCCTAAGTCTGGTTTGGGTGCACATCTAGTCCTGCATGAGGCAACTAGGGGTACAAGGAGATCCAGCATAACTTCGAGGGTCTGAGATTCAACAAGCTCATTTGTATGTGTGTGCCTCCCTCTATGGGAGGCAAGTAGGAACAAGAGTCTCCCAGGGCCAGTTCCAGGACAGAGTCGTGTCTGAAGGCCGCTTACTGAGGGCAGCTGCAGTGGGTGCATGCAAGGGTGGGCTGAACCAGCAACTGGAGTGGGGTTGCCTTAGCCTGTGTTGTGTGTGTGCCTACTGGGAATGCTGGCTCAGCCTTGCTGCTGGTTGCACATCAGGGCATGAAGCTGTAGCAGCCTCACCTCTAGTGGGCAACCCTTTACAATTACGAGTAAAATAAGCTTAGTATTTCTCAACTTCTGCTTGTGTACTGTTCAGAACATCAGAATTGCGCACCAAGTGGGTACAAGGGAAAACATGAACTTCACTAGTGGAATACACAGGGGCATAAAGGAGATAAATACTTGCTTTCCCTATCCAGGGTTATTCTGCTACTGCCTTGGGAAAGGAGGTCTGAGAGCTGCTCCAGTTCCATGCAGACTGGTGGTGTATTAAGGCCTTGGTTTCCCCCATCCTCCCTAAGCAAGCAAAAAACAACAGAAAAAGCATGGAGTAAAACACGATAACTTGTCCACATCAGCAGTACAGCTACCTAACTCCTGCCTCAGAATGATACAGCAAAGCCAGGTAGGAAAGCTACATGCGAAAGACTACAACTGGCAGTGTTCAGTTTTGGGCCCTCATTATGAGAGTGAGTAGCTGGATTATCCAGAGAAGGGCAACAGAGCTGGTGAAGGGGCTGTAGCATAAGTCTGATGAGGAACAGCTGAGGCAATGTCTGGAGAAGAGAAGGCTCAGGGGGGACCGTATCACTCTCTACAACTACCTGATAGGAGGATGGAGAGAAGTGGCTGGTCTCTTCTCCCAGATAACAAGTGATAGGACAAGAGGTAACAGCATCAAGATGCACCAGGGGAGGTTTAGACTGGATATTAGGAAAAAATTATTCACAGAGGGGGTAGTCAGGCACTGGAACAGGCTGCCCAGGGCAGTGGTGGAGTCACCAGCCCTGGAAGTGTTCAAAACCACGTGTAGATAAAGCCCTCAGTGACATGGTTTAGTGGTGGCCTTGGCAGTACTGGGATAATGGTTGGACTTGATCTTAAAGGTCTTTTCCAACCTAATTGATTGTGTGATTCTATACTGCTGCAGGGAGACAGATGAGGAAAGAGAGATGACTGGAAAGATGTGCCAGAAATGGGTGGAGAAGCTGACACTATAAAAGCTACTTGCTCTTTCTGTTACTTCAGGAAATGCTTTTTAGAATGTATTTATTTCTCCAGCTATCATCAAATGAAAGGCACTCACCCTCACAGTGCCTCCGCTCCTTGGGAGGGGAATAGCTGGAGCAATGAGTGATGTGATTTCTGGGTCGAGAAAGGCATAAACAGGAAAACACTGTCTTATCTTGTAACTCAGTTTTCTCAGAGCAGGCTTGGGCCAGGCCACAGATTTTTCCTGTAGATGGCTGACCCTTAAGAGTCAAGTTAAGGAAACTAAGTCAGTACATCAGGTAGCATGGCACAGCGATAATGAAAGGGTGGAGAACCTGTATTTTATGAACCTAGATGTACTGAGTGTCCAGTGTTTTTTCCACTGTGCAAGCCATCTCAAAACTCCCTGCCTGTTGCTATCTTGGGTTAAAGTAATGAAGCACAGGTTATGGTAAAACTTCCTTTTTTTTATTGAAAAATATGGGTGGGAGGAAGGAAATTATTTACACAAGTTCCCAAGTGCAGCTCGACTCAAGAACATGACCAGCAATATGATAAAGGGGTGTGGGTCCAAGACAGGATTATGGAGGCTACCAAACAGTACAACTCCCCAGTAGACGTGGACCTTCAGATAAGATCAGCAACTGAAATGAGAGAAAATGCGAGAAGGTAAGTATGAACCAAGTGCATCAAGAGCCCCAGCCCAGCACACCTACTGCTGCTCCCCAGTTCTTCCACAGGGGAAGCAAAGATTGGTCGGGCTTGGGAATGAGGCAAGCAGCAAAACAAAGCATCTGGCATTTCTCTTTCAGATGCAGCACCCCAGTTCCCAGGTGTAGGAGGGCAGCAGCTCGCTGGGGCTGGCTGCACTCACCGTTCATGGGCATCTCGTCGATCTGGGTGGAGTAGTACTGCTCAATGTCCCGCAGGATGCGGATGTCGTCGTTCTTCACAAAGTTGATGGCGACACCTTTTCGGCCGTATCTGCCCGACCGGCCGATTCTGTGGAGGCAGAAGGAAAGAGAGAATGGAGCCACCTTGGGGAAGGGTTATCCAGCCATGCTCCCCATGGGAAGGCTGAGCTTACCTGTGTATGTAGAGTTCTCTGTTGTTGGGTAGGTCATAGTTAATGATGAGGGACACCTGAGGCACATCCAGGCCTCTAGCCCAAACATCTGTTGAAATAAGGACTCGGCTGTGAAGAGAAAGGGACAGTTAAAGCTGTTCCACCGCATGATGTGGGGGTGAGGGCTGAGAAGCTGCAGTGTCCAGCACCCTCTGCTGTACTGTGCTCCTCCCTGCTTGCAGCACACTGGCACCATCCACACTTCTGCTGCAATGAAAGCTGTCCCATGCAGCATCACCAAACTTCAGCAAAGACAGTACCAGGACAGTTTTGATCTTTCAGAAAGAGTATGAAGCTCCCAAGAGTTTAAATACAGAGACAGAGCCCAGATGTCTTTCTTGACATATTTTCAATGCAGCAACACCCAACCTCTTTCTTTAGTGAAATAAATCAGACTATTCTATACCTAGAAGTATGAGCATCCCTCTTTAGACAGTGGCAATCTCCCAACCCCAACCCTGCAGGGGGATAGATGGGAATCAGAGTTCTTCCTAATTTGAGCTGAACAAGGCCTTCAGAAAGGAGAGGTATTACAGGTTTCTGAGGCCTGTTCCCTCCAGACAATACAAGAAATCCTGCTGTAAGCAACACTGTTTAAGGCATTTACCTTGCACCAGATCTGAACTCTTTCATGATGGACTCTCTCTCCTTCTGTGGCATGTCCCCATGCATGGATGAAACTGTGAAGTTGGCTTCTCTCATCTTCTCTGTGAGCCAGTCTACCTGTGCATACAGCCAAGCAGCCTGGGTTAGCTCTTTGCTCAGGACAGCCACATGTGCTAGCTGTGCTTGGAGAATACTTGCAGAAACAAATGCTGATAAGGACCGAGGGACACTTCAACAAGCATCCTGGAGCTAGAAGATGTAAATAATCCTTACAAAACATCAGCTATGTGATACAGGCCTCCACAAAGGAAAGGAATTGAGGGCATTTATTCAGAAAGTGTGGGTTTGTTTCTGTGATTATAAGCAATTAGAAGAGTAAGCACATTCTTACCTAATCAGTTCCACTTCTCTAAAAAGGCAGTTCCTGTCAGCTGTATCAGGTCTGCTTATAGCCAGATGTTTAAGCTGGGCACATCCCAAAGACAAATATTTAATCTCTGTTCTTACTAACCTATTCTCTAACAGGAAAACGACCAGACCTCTTAACTGGGTTTGTCCCATTCTTCTCCCAGTCCCCCTCAGAAAATTAATGTGCTGTACCTTTCTCTTCGTGTTACAGAAGATGACAGCCTGCGTGATTGTGAGCGTGTCGTAGAGATCGCACAAGGTGTCGAACTTCCATTCTTCCCTCTCCACAGCCACAAAAAACTGCTTGATTCCTTCAAGGGTCAACTCATCACTGTAGCACAGAAGAACAGAAGAGAAGGCTCAGGGGAGATCTTGTAACAGTCTTCCTTAAGGGGGCCTACAGGAAATCTGGAGAGGGACTTTTGACAAGGGCTTGTAGGAACAGGACACAGGGCAATGGCTTTATGCTGACAGAGGGGAGATTTAGATTAGACATTAGGAAGAATTTCTTCCCTGTGAGTGGGGTGATGTGCTCGCACCAGTTGCCCAGAGAAGCTGTGGCTGCCCCATCCCTGGCAGTGTTCAAGGCCAGGTTGGACACAGGGGCTTGGAGCAACCTGGTCTAGTGGAAGGTGTCCCTGCCTGTGGGAGGGGGTTGGAACTAGACGAGCTTTAAAGTCCCTCCTGTCAGGCTGCCTACACTCACTCTTGCTGTGTTCCAGTGCACCAGGACCTGTGACACCACCAGACATAAGCTACATCTCCAAGGGCATTCAGGATCAGTCAGCTAAAGGGTTTTCTGGCTTCCTACGTAAAAATAGCAAATTAATGGAAGAGGCCTATGAAAATCCTCTTGAGGAGCATAGGAATTGGGTAGGTGACAGACTGACTTCCAGGACAAGAGACTGCTACACATGGGGAGGATGAGGAGGTGGGGACCAGCAAACAGAACTGGACAAGGATAACATCAAAGAGTGAGTTGGCCACTTCTGAAAAACAGGACATGAGGAGGTCTGTAAATGCCTAGGCAAACTCCAGTGGTAAGAAGGAACATGAGTGAGGCTCTACATATCAGATCAGTTAATACTGTGAAGTGCCCAGGACAGGACCAACTCAAAGAGCTCCTATTTCTTGCAAGGAAACTCACTCACTCACCGTTTCACCAGGATGCGGATGGGGTCTGTCATGAATTTGTTGGTCATCTCCAGAATTTCATGAGGCAAAGTGGCACTGATCAAAACCACCTGTGTGGCTGGAGGCAAGTATCTGTACACATCATAGATCTGCTCCTTAAAACCTGAAAAGCAAATCCAATAGCACAGAACAGTTATCACTTCTTTCTTCCAAATATCCTGCTCCTTCACAATTTGATCTGGAATTCAGTATTGGGCCTATTCTGTGAGATGAACATTAACGAGTGTATCAGTAATTCAAAGCCAGCGTCATTGCTCATGTCTCCCTCACTTTCCCCAACTCACTACAATGTGGCTGTGGTACACAATAAAGTGTGAAAGGCAGTACTTGATAATTTATGACTATTGAAAAGGACACTACAACTGAATTAGACAAGGCATATGAAGCAGCTTAATCTGTTATAGCCTGTAATTAAAACATTAAACCAGGTTTTTTTAGAAGCAGGACTGCCAGCTGGGACACAGTGGAATCTCAAAGATGCGAGGACAAAAGAAGTCAAAGGGAGACAGATATTTTACCTTTATTGAGCATTTCATCTGCTTCATCCAAAACCAGCATTTTGATGGCACGAGTCCTTAAACTTCGTCGACGAATCATATCTGCAAGATTGCACTTGGTAAGATGGAAAGGTTCTGGAAGCAAGTGAGCCTGCACTGCTCCCAGGGCGTGTTGGTGGAGGAAGGACAGGCCTTTCCCCTGTTTGCCTACAGAGACTGCTGTTCAGGGATAAAAGGCACATCCGAGAACCACTCTGTAGCCACAGCACCCTTCAACCTAAGGGGATGTCTCTGTAGCCCAGCTAAGGGAGCGCTCACTGCAGGGAAACTCCCAGTGTCCAAGCTGAGGGATGCCATTTGCTAAGTGCACAGGACAGGTGACCTGGTGTCCCAGGATGTGAGAAATCACAATCCTGTTTGGAAGAGCAGAGCTCTGTGTAATCCCTTAATACTGCAGTAGGAAAAGTATTTGCTATTTGTTGCTGTTCAAAGCCAGCCAAGTTCTATAGCTGCTAATTATTTAGTTTTCATTTGTGGAGACTGGCTCTATGTTCTCCCAGTGACAAGTGCCTGTGTAAGGCAAAGTGCTGCCTGTTGCTCAGAGATCCAGAAGATGTGAGCTTGAAGGCTAACACTATCACTGTGGTAAGTGCCACCAACAGCAAATGTAAAAATCTTCATGCAATGAAACCAGGAAGTAGCAGCTACAAGTGCACCTGATTTAACAAAGAGAGTGTGATGGCCAGTACATAGAAAATGTGGACCTAACTTTGACATTCAAGTAGACCCAGCTCTTTTCTCCTCCAAAATTCCAAAGTGTATCCTAGGACTGTAGTATTTTCTCCCTAAAAAATACTCTTTGTTCCCATGCCACCATATGAAGAAACATGTCAACAATGAAAAGCATGATGTAAACAGAGAAAATCCAAATCCTATCCCCACTGATTTCTCTCTAGTCTTTTCCAGATATGACTACAGGAAGTTGCTACCTTGTACTTCACATTAATGTTACATTAATTGTGCCAGATTAATGTAATTTTCATGTTATTTCAAATCTAGGCTGACAAAAGTTGCAGGCAGTTCCCATGGCTCAACTCAGGTCTGAAGCTGATGTAGCCTCCCACATGTCCTTACCAAACACACGGCCTGGAGTGCCAGCAACAACATGCTGCCCATAATCCAATTTTCGGATATCTTCACCCACATTGGTCCCTCCGATGCAGGCGTGACACTGGACATTCATGTAGTCTCCCAGCGCAAGAAGACCCTGTATTGATACAAAGGAATGGCTTAATTAACTGAGCTCTCATGAAGTTTGTATTTGTGAAGGGATGCAGCTCTGCCATACAGTGTTTTTTTAAAGAGAGGTAATCACAAGCAGTTAGAAGGATTTTTATGTCTGTTACCCAAACCTCCTCAACAGCAGGTTTTCAAACACTGGGAACTCAGTTCCCCAGGGATCACAACTGCTATAGAAGTGCTGTCCTTAAAAAGCAGAAGCTCTGAGCTCTGCTGGGGAACACCTGAGGATCAGCCCCAAGCTTTGCAAGTGCTTTAGAAATGGTGATTTAAAGGCTCCTACCTTCTGAATCTGTACAGCCAGCTCCCGAGTTGGTGCCAAGATTAATGCCTGGGTCTCACGAACCTGATAAAAACAAGTGATCACATAGCAATTAATCACAGGGCAGATATCTAAGCGTAAGAGAGACTATGGATCCCACAGTGCTCTGAAATGTCACATCTGAAAGACTGGCTTCTATAGGTACGTAGCAAATAAAAGA